CCACTCGTGCATTGAGTCTTTCCTGTATCACCTCCTGACCCCTCCAGTGGCTCAGTCACTATCTAGCTATGTGACCTTGGATGAGTCACTTAACCTCATGAGAAGCAGCAGTCAGTGAATCTGGTGACTTCAGTTTCTTCCAGCATCAGGGTCACAGTGGTAGGACCTGGGGGTGTTTCTCTAAGGTATGGGGAAATTTAGTCTCCCCTTTGATCTCAGATTCATGGAGAACCCAGAACTGGTTATTAGAAAACTCTTGCAGAGTGAATAGGTAAGCTTATTTAATATTAATTCTTCACTTGGCAAATGCTTGAGTGCCTGCTCTATCCAAGGGTGTGTCAGGTTCTGCAAGGGTGGAGGATGAGCCTCTTAGATTTTGCCCTCAAAGAGCTCACAACCTTGTGGGGTGGTGGGTGTGTCTATTCAAAACCATAACAGGGCAGACTGTCTGGCACATCACTTTGTGTTCATTTTTAGGACCAGTTGTCACAGTTGTGCACAGAAATTAAAGTTCCACAGGAGGTGGGATGTTTTCGGTCTTGTACTCTATGTGCCTGACACATCCTAAGCAGTCAGTACATGTTTGTTGAATGAAAGCAGTATTGAATGGTACCATTTAATTTGTGTTTTGAAGCAAGGGTGGGATTTGGACCTACACAGATGGGTGAGGGAGGCATTGCAGACTGGCGGGAGGTGGGTGGCTAGAGGCAGGAGGAGGGAATGGCAGGAGCAGTTGTACAGAGAGAGTGACACCCAAGGCATGGTTGGCAATTGCAGGCCCAGTGTGACTGAATCGTGTGGTATGTCAGGATGCAAAGAAGCTGAACAGGTAAGTTGGGGCCAGATAGTGGAGAGGGTTGAATTCAAGCTATGTTAAAGGGATCAGATTTATCTATAGTAGGATGATCTCATGTTCCCATTGCCCAGGGTAGTTTTGCCTGTTGTCCCAGTGTGATTACTCATGGCGGCCCCTTTCATGCTCGAGTATCCCTGTTTGGATAAGTTATGTGGTCCTGCAATCCTAAAGGCTTTGTGGAACCCCCAAAGGTTTCACAGAGGGACAGGGTTAGGCTAGCCTTGAAAGGTCAGTGCCCACAATGCTTGCTGGACCTGGAGGCAGGAGCTGGGACACCCTCCAGTCTGGGTGATTCAGGTCAAAATCTTTTGGTTAATGGTAAATCACCAACAGTAGCCAGGATACGGTGAAATGGGCACTCTTCGGGGAGTGCAAATTGTTCCAGACCTTTTTTGGAAATCAATTTTGCAGCACACGTCAAGAGCCTTGAAAAATGTCCATGCCCTTTGTTAATTTCACTTCTGGAAATCTCTCCTACAGAAATAATCCCAAATATAGAAAAGGTTCTTTGCATAGACGTTCATCATAAAACTCTATGCAACAGGTCTAGAGACCAATCAGAATGCCACAATAGATGATATTGAGGACATAGGATATATCTATCAATGGACTCTAAGTTCCATAGAACAGGGACAATGTCTGATTACTAACCACTGTATCCCCACAGCTAACATAGTATCTGACATATTTGTTTAAGGAATAAACAAGTGAATAAAATTTTGTATCAGGTTAAACAAAAAAGATATAAAACAATCCTTAAATATGATATATAAGTACCTACATGGACACACTACGATCTCAATCATTTTTTTAAAAAACAGACATATGTATATGACTATGCATATGAAAACTTTTAAAATGACTCCCCAAAATGTAAACAGTGATTATGTTTGGAGTGGTGGAACTCCTGATAATTTCCTTTAATTTTATTTTTGTATATATTATATATCTTTCATAATGAATATGATTAATTTTGTAATGGGGAAAAAAAAAGGCCACATCAATACTTTAATAAAGAAAGGATAGCATTAGGCAGGGTTTTAGCACTCAGCCAGGATGTGATAAAGTTTTGCATCCTCCGAGGATTCCCAGTCAGTCTTTGTGGTATGAGTCTCTAATTCCAGCCATGATCCTCCTCTGTAAGATGGGTTCCTCCCGCAATGGGTGGCAGAGGGTCCACTTGCTGGCTAGAGATGCCCCCCTACACCCACCCCCCACCACCCCCAGGAGCTAGAGATACTGAGAGGTGCTGGCTTTCATTGGGGCAGTTTCTACACTCATAAGCAGCCATCAAAAATGATATCTAGGCCAGGCAATGGCTCATGCCTGTAATCCCAGCACTTTGGAAGGCAGAGCAGGGCGGATCACCTGAGGTCAGGAGTTCGAGACCAGCCTGGCCAATATAGTGAAACCCCGTCTCTACTAAAAATACAAAAAGAAAAAAAAATTAGCTGGGTGTGGTGGCAGGCACCTGTAATCCCAGTTACATGGGAGGCTGAGGCAGGAGAATTGCTTGAATCCAGGGAGTGGAAGTTGCAGTGAGCCAAGATCACGCCATTGCACTCCAGCCTGGGCAGCATGAGTGAAACTCCGTCTCAAAAAAAAAAAAAAAGAAAGAAAGAAAAAGAAAAAGATATCCAGCAAGATGAAAAACTATTGGTGATACAGTTTTAAGTGAAATAGACCAGAATACAAAAAGCCATGTTCACTATGAACATATCTTTGCAAACTATGCACATGGCAAAAATTTACCAAAAGAATGAAAAAGCCTCACAAAAAATATGACTACATGCAGCCAGAGGTGAGACAGACAACCAAAACCGAATGCACCTTTTCAGCAATAACAATTTTAGAGACATTCCCAGAACTAGCATGGGTGTCTACAGTTGCTTACCCAGTGACTCTAGGCTCCAGGGCAACCTGTTTCTTAGAGCAGAGCTTCTCAAACTGTAATGTGCACACAATTAAGGGATTGTGTGATAAAACGTGGATTTGGATTCAATCGAGCTGGGCTGGCAACAAGGACTCCGCATTATCTACAAGCTCCAGGTGATACTGGGGCACAGAACACACTCATTGAGGCTTCTACCCACTATCCCAATTCTTAGCACCAAGCACCTTCCCCAGATGCCTGGCCTGGCCCTCCGTCCTCAAGCATGTCTGCACCTGAAGTTATCTGTGTCCCCAGTATCTTGGCACCATCAAGACTAATAATGAGAAGCAACTTCAGGCACTTGCGCAGGGTCCAGGGGGGCCTGAGGCCCCCAATTCCTTGGGAAGCTTGGACAATGACATCTTTCTGGGGTGATGTGAAGACAAAAGTGACTCCATCTTGGATGCTAATTTGCCAAGTTGACTTCTGATTAGCCCCAGTCCCATGAATGCCTCCTGACTCCTACTTTATTTACTGTCCCGAGTGTAAGAATATGTACTCCTGCTTTTAGATCAAAGCAAGCTCGATGCTATTGTGCAAATTCTGGGCTATGATGCACATGGCATTCTTGCCTGCTCTGGTGCACTGCCTTTCATTGTCTTGCTGGAGCACGTACATCCGTTTTCTATGGTATATAAGCCTTGGGTCCGTGAGTAACAGTGCAGAGATCTGCCTGTCTTGTGGTCACCCAAGACCACCCTTCTGCCTATAAGTTCCCTCAATAAAACACTCAATACCAACAAACTGGATTTGTCTGCCTTCTTCTTTGGTCTCTTGGCTCCTTTGGCATTTGGGGGTTGCTTTGTGCATGTGGCGTTTTCACAAAATAGATGGGTCCCGGAGCCTGGGCTTTGCTGGCAGGTGGTCACCTGGAGCAGCCAGCAGTAGATGGCACCACAGGACAAGCACAAGCTGTGTCCAAGAGAGTGGCCCAAGAAATCTGCCCAAAATCCAACACAAAAATGAACAAAGGAATTGAATGGGAGATGTCACCAAAAGAAGCGATAAGATAAACAGCTCCAGGAAGAGAGCTGCTGGCTCAAAGAGCACTTGTCTTGGGTGTCAGTTCATGGGTTCTTGGTCGGCGTGAGAGCCCTGTGCCAGACGCCCTGTGCAGAACCGATGCCGGCTTATGATGAGGCTCTTCCAGGGCTCCAGCACATGAATACCCTGCCCTGGGAGGCTATAGTAGGCCAGTCACTGTCCACTCTGCTGGAGGGTTGGTCTGAGCCAACAGAGCCGTGCAGAGACATCCCATCCAACGCAGCCCAGAAGCAGTCTTGACATTTCTTTCCCTGCAAGGACAGGCTGTCTGGTCCACACGTAGATGAAGCCTTGGGCCTGGTTCAGCATCCAGAGGACTAGGCCATAACCCCCAAGGTAAGATATTCACATTCATTGGAGCCCTTTCTCCTTTTTCCCTGGTTGGCTGGAGGAAGGGGACCCCTGCTTTTTTTAGCCAGTGCCCCATGAAGTTAGACTCCCAGGACTCCCTGCCCCTGATCCTACTGAAGGCCACTGGAATGCCCGGGATGCCCAATACCCTGAGGAAGCGTTGAAAGATTCGTGGCACATTATCTGGGGCAAGTCAGCTCAGTGGTCAGAGCACGGAGTGAAGGAAGCTGCAGCCATGGCCTTGAGTTCTGGAGGCCTCTGTAGTGGGTCAACAGTGGGGAAAGCCACAGAGTCTCAGTCCAGCTGCTGTATCACATGAGGTCCTTGGAGGCAAGGAAGGGCAGGCAGGAGACTGTGGCTGCAGCAGCCTGAGTCCTGGCCCCTTCCCATGCTGGACTCCTATCCAGCACCAAACATTCAGCCGTGAGTGGCACCTTTACCATCAACCCACCACGGAAAACTTCCCTGGAGCTCTCTCCTTGTGCCAGGGCCTGTCCGTGGCATGGAAGACACAAGCCCCATGATGATATATGGATTTCACCTGCAGCGCGCTCGCCATCTCATCGAGGAGAGGAACTTGCAGGCTGATTTCCATGTAAGGTGGAAGACACAGTGATAGAGAAAAGGGATGGAGTAGGAAGTAAGTCCTGGAATTCCTGCTGCAGAGGGCTGTGAACCAAGACTACTGGATCTATTCTCTTCAGCTGGATGCACTAATGATATAACAGTAATCCCACTGCTTTGCATTCACGGAATTCTTTACTTCTGAAGCGCCTCCATATGCCATCTCTCACAGAGGTGAGGAGTTGACCAAAGTCTGGAGCTCTGACTCCAAGCACTCCTTCCCTCACCCTACAGTGACCCCGTGATCTCACTGATGGAGGTGAAATCCCTGGGTTCCCAGGCCAGGCATCTGTTGCTGTGTCACCAGAATGAACCCTGCCTGCTGCCAGCAGACATCTCCGGCTCTGGCATCTTTCAGCTCAAGCTGCAAGGCTTACTGTGACCTCTGGAATCTGCACTCAGAATTCTCCCAGGAACAAACAGCTGAAGTACCAGAATGCCAGTTTTCACGATGCAAATGGATGCAAAAACGGCTCTTGCCAGCCTATCTGGGCCCCAGAAAGCCAGGAATGCTGGGGTGCCACCCCAGCTTGCAGTGTGCCCACTTCGCTAAGTGAAAGAGCCTGGCAAGGGACATGGCAGAGAGAAGCCCTAGACCTGATTAAATGGGATTGGACCTGCCATTTAGCTTCAGGGACACTTTGGAGACTTCCGTGTGTACTGTGGACAGGGGTAGATGCTCCAGCTCCTCCAGGGGGGGACTCTGCTGGCAAGTCAGCACCAGGGCCTTGATCTCCTTCTTGAAGTTGGTGTTGAGAAAGCCGTAGATGAATGGGTTGACACAGGTGGAGGCCATGGCAAGCAAGTGGCACACCAAGAAGATGAGGTTCCCATGGCAGATGGGGATGGCCTCATGGTGCCAGTCCTCCAGGCTGTTGAACACATGCAGAGGCAGCCAGAGCACAGCGAAGGCCACCACCATCGCCACCAGCACCACATTGACCTGCTTCATCTGCCCAGCTCGCAAGCTGTAGGTGCCCTTGTGGAACACACGCCCCTGCCTCTGCAGGCGCCGGTAGATGCGTGCATAACAGACCAGGATGAAGCCCAGTGGGAGGCAGTACTGGAAGAGGAGGAGGAAGGTGGTATAGATGGTTCGGTGGTGAGCCAGTGGCCAGGACTCAGTACAGACCACCTTATCCGCCAGGAACTCCAGAGCCTTGGAGTGGTTCTTGTGGAAGACATTCTCCAGGATGCTATTGGCCAGGAAGGGCAGGGAGAGGACACAGGCAATGACCCAAATGAGCACAATCCCCAGGTAAGCCTGAGAGATGCTGGGCTTCCAGCCTGTTGGGTTGATGATGAGCTGATGCCTCTCCAGGGCCACAAGGACAAGCGAGAGGATGGAGACCGTCACCGACACACACTGGATGAAGGCCGACATCTTGCAGAGGGTCTCTCCGAAGATCCAGTAATCCATGATGGTATAGATGGCAGTCAGTGGCTGGCAGAGGAGGCACATGAGGAAGTCAGAGAAGGCCAGGTTGGTGATAAGCAGGTTGGTCACGTTGGTTTTCTCCTTCTGCCTCACAGTTACACACATCAAGCAGAGGTTACCCAGGACCCCCACGACAGTCTCAATGCTGTAGGAAGTGACGATGAAGACCATCATGTCCACAGAATCCTGGCAATGGTCAGAGAAGTTGTATGGGATGCCCAGGGGCTTGCTTCTGTTTTCACCCTGTAGGGATTTTGGCAGCTGCAAGGCCAGGAGGTGAGAGGTGTTCATGGTGGATGTGAAAAGATTCCAGGACACTCAAACTAAGTGATACACTTCAGGGATGATGCCTGCAAGGTAAACAGACAAACAATACTCAGGGATCAAGCCCAGGGTAGAATCCAGGGAGGAGCAGGGCCGGGTAGAAAGGCTCTCAGCTGCTTCCATCCCAAGGCTGGTACCTGGAGGGGCTATTACCTAAGGCTCATGGTAAGACACTGGCATCCAATGATTTCTACCCTGTTAGAAGCACTTGTTGCATGCTGGCTACTGTGCTCAGCGCTTTCGTCTATTAGCTAGTTTATTCCTAGTTTATCAATCCATTTCATAGATGAGGAATCTAAGACCCCGAGATGGAAAGCAACTTGCCCATAGTCACACAGTTTATTAGTAACAGGGCCCCGTTACAAACTCAGGTCGTCTAATGCCAGAACTTGTTCTACCAATTCCCTCTGGCCTCAGGATCTGAGGCTGTTCTGATGACGAAGAAGTTGGAGTGCTGTATGCAGAGGTCAGTGAAGGAATTGTTCAGGGAGGATGGGTAGAATGCCCCTTGTCACATTTTATCTGAATGGAGACAGCAATAAATGCCACTCTGCACAGGATTGCTTGTGTCCTTCCACGGCACCCCATTCCCTTCAACATAGAGCTAAAGCCTCGAGGATCCACACTCAGTGCACCCGCCTGGTCTCAGCCCCTCCCTGCCCTGCCAGCCTTGTTTTTTAAGCGATACCTGGCAAAGTTGAAGACTGCCCGGTATGAAAAGCCTGGCTCATCAGCACACCAGCTTCCTTCTACCACTCACTATGTGCACACACATACCTGGTCAAAGTCACAGGTACCCAGTGTCCTCCCCAGAACCCACTCCATGACTATGTTCAAGTCACCTGATGCAGTGTGCAGCTCACAAGCACACCAGACTGTTCCACATCTCTATGGTACAGGCTGTCCCTTCCTCGAGACCTCCTCAGCACAACGGACCCCCTGCCAAGATTGGGTTGGAATTTAGACTCCAGAGTTCCCCCGTGGTAGTGCCAATGATGGATGTTTTGCATGGGAAGCACCATACCACTACATACATCATTGTGACTCACCTCTCAGATTCTCTAGTCATTATTAATCCCACAGGGTTGCAGTTCTCAACCTTCAGTAAACATCAGAATCATTCTAGAAGCATGTTGAAAGTGCAGATCCCAGGGCCATTCCACCAGGAGATGTAGTTAAGTGAGTCCAGGATGGGGGCCAGGAATCTGTATTTAACAAGTAGACTATGTGATTCTGACACACATGGCCCTTGGACCCCATCTTGTAAAACACTATTTATAGCAGAAAACCCTATTTGAGATATTCTTTAACTCTCATATAATGGCCATATGTATTTTTGAACACACATATTTTCTTCATGATCGATTGGTACGTTAAGGCAGTTTTTGCAGAGTACAAGGCCAAAATCAACCAGAGTTCAGTAAATTCTGTTTGTCGGCTGTCATGAATGTCACTCACTGTGCATTTGATCTACTTATAATGATGAGTCTCTGAGGTCCGGAGTTCAACACCTGCCTTGCCAACATGGTGAAACCCCGTCTCCACTGAAAATACTAAAATTAGCCAAGTGTGATGGCACATGCCTGTAGTCCTAGCTACATGGGAGGCTGAAGCAGGAGAATCACTCGAACCTGGGAGGCGGAGGTTGCAGTCAGCAGAGAATGCACCACTGTACTCCAGCCTGGGCAACAGAGTAAGACTCTGTCTCAAAAAAAAAAAAAAAAAAAAAAAAGATGAGTCTCATTTGGTCATTTAAAAGATCAAGCTGTGAATTCATCTGATAGTTTATAGTCTGGTTATTTAGGAACCAGATCTCGAAGGCAGGAAGATTTCTCTGGCACTATGGTCTTCTGGCAAAAAAGGCCATTTGGGGCTGAACATGACAAAATAAACTATTCTAGAGGCAAACACAAGGCCCAATATAAGATAAAGAGCAGCCCCAGCTGCATGAACCTGTGGCAGAGGCACTGCACTCAGAAGCAGCAAATGGGCCAGAACCCAAGGCCCTGGATGACCATCAGCAGGGCTCGGCCAGGAGTGTGGAGAAACACCATTCATCCTAAACTGACCACCTACAGCAGGATCAGAGTGGAAGGACTGGGCTGGGAGGGCTCCAGAAAATGCTCACTGCTTCATTCACCCACTCAATAAGTGTGTGTCAAGCCCTGGGCTAGAAACAAGGGCTGCAAAGATGACTTATACAGCCATGGCCCTCCCAGAACAGAGGGGCTGACCAGCACAGAGGGGCTGACCAGCACAAATGCAGATAGAACTCACTGCATTGCCAACACCAATATGAAAGAGAGGCCTGTGAGTTGAGAGATCAGAGAAGGAGCAGGGAGATGGGAGAAGAGGTGGCAATGGTACACGGCTCGACGGCTGAAGAGGAGTCAACCAGCCAAAGGGACAGGGAGAGGAGGGAACTCGAGGTGTAAGGAACAGCATATGCAAAGGCACAGAGGCAGGAAGGAGCAGAGCCTGCTGGGAAAAGTAAGCAGAATAACAGGCTCCAGGGTGGCAGATGATGAAGTTGGAGTGGTGGGCCAGACCAGCAAGGCCAGGTCCATTCCAGTAAGATCACTTGGATATAGAAAATGGATTGGAGGAGAGGGCCAAGACAGGAGGAGGAGGAGCACTGAAAAGGTGGTGTTGGGCATCTGCCTGGTACTGCTGGGCTTAGGGTACACTGACCAGTGAGGACCAGGGGACCTCAAGTCCCTCAGGCATACCCAAGGGGGTGGTGAGTGTAGGAGGGAGAGGGTGAATTATTACACAAGGTCAGTAAAATGGTGTCTCTGCATTTTGTCCCCAGGCAGCTCTCTAGATCAAAAACTAGAACCAGCTGCAAGCCCCAACAGGGACCCCCTGCAGCCTGCCTTCCCAGTCAATCAGAGGAAAACTAATGAATCATACACACAATGCTATCTCCCAGTGGGGTTAGAGTAGGGAAAGGCCCTTTGCTTTGTCTCCTGAAATCTCAGCAAAAGCTACTATATCCTAACGCCCATAGCGCCCAGACACCTCAGATGCACCCCTTACCTCCTTGGCTCGCAGCTTACAGGGTGAGGATGGGACAGCCCATGTCTCAGGTGAGGAGACTGAGGTCCACAGTGGGGGCAGGATGCTCCCCAGATCCAGTGTGACGCTCTGCGCCCCGGGCCAAGGGCAGGCAGGGCGCCCGGCTTCCTGGAGAGTTCATATGGTGGCTCACTCGGCCCTGCCCCCGGCTGCACTCCTGTGCCCAGGAGGCATCAGACACGGTGCAGAGCCGCGCCTGCTTCACCTGCTCCTGCTGTGCCGATGCTGCCTGCCTGAGGAGCGGAGCGGCTGCCAGGCTCCCGCCTGCACC